AATATGTGTAATAAATTCTGCAGCCAATATGTATATATATATTTGTGGTCACTTTCATTGACGTAAAATGAGTCAGAAAAACCGAGTGACTATACAGTAGACAGCCATTCACCTCGAATTCACAGTCAGTAAAGTGCGTCAGTCACGACGACTTTTATTCCTTGTACTTGGAACTCGAATTATGCTTACGGACATAGTAGATGCATTTACGACACATTCTCTCCCACGCTTTCTGAGATTCGGTTCACACGACTCGATTCTGGACAATGGCATATATATGTTTTTGAGCCTTGCTGATTTTCAAGGACAAGAATCTCGATTGGAATTTTATAAAGGCTCATACGATTTCCTGTGCTATTTTTCGTGAAAAAAGAAACACGTCTTTTCTTCTTTTTTTTGAGAATGATAGAACAATAGAAAACCATAGAGAATTGAAAATTAAAAACATGGGAATCATCAACTATTATAGAAGATGATAAGTAAATTTTACAAGGAGCTGAGAAGATTTTCAATTGTGGGTATTTTTATGTTTTTCAAATTATTAACAATAACATCCTACGCATCATAGAAACATTTAGACTGTCGAACAAGGTCGAAAAGAGTAAATAAATATATACTCATGAAATGTGTCCTTTATTATATCCGCGAAAGGATAGCATATAACTCCCACGACATATATATGAAATACACTCGACATCGTCGTGGACAATCGAGGATGAGAGTAATTCCAAGGACCAGGATGCGAGGGCTGTGCCACAACTATCAGAATATAAATACGATCCATTAAGTGCCGAGATCTTACTTGAAAACCCACGTGTCTTTTTCCCCGAAAAACTTGTCTCTCATATCGTCTCGCACGCATTTATTCCAACAATTATTTTTTCCTTATAGAAATACATTATAATTACAAGTAATCAAATTTATTTTCTTCAAATATTTCAAAGAATGAATTGATTTTTTTATTCCTTCCAATAAGAGAAAATCTGTTTAGTTCCCAGCCGAAAATCATTAAAAAGTCCAACATAATAGTTTGCGATGTAAGTTTTATCGGAATTGGCTATCTTCGCTGAAATATGAAGCAAGTAGACCATTTATTTGCCCTTCATTGTGCCTTGAGTCGAATGTATTCGAGGATACAAGTTCCAAGTTCCGTTTTGCACTTCTCGGGGGTTTTTCACGTGGGATGGCATTCTGCGTGGGCTACTGAGTACGTACTACTTTTTTTTCCTCTTTTTTTAAAAGAAAAAAAAATTCTCAGTAAGTACTTGACAACGGGATATACGATACATCTTTTTTGACAAAAGAAATATTTATGTAGACAGGAATCGAAATCAGGTTCTTTATTACTCTTAGAATTATGTCCATTGCTTTGAGAGCCATCAAGTACATCTTCTTTTTCCTAAACTATATCAAGAAAAAAAGATTCAACAAAACCTATGAGAAAATATTTATTTAAATATATAAAGAGAAATTAAAAATAAATAAAGAGAATTGGAAAGTTTAAAAATAAAAATAATTTTAAGCAAAAATGTCAAAAAGTGTGTGTTCTCTAAAAACAACTTTTATTTTTGAGACGCTATAAGTATAGTTGAAAACATCAAGTTGTCACCTTCTGAGTTATCACAGGTATATGTGTGGAGAGAAAAAGATGCACACAGAAAATTATTGGAGGTGTCTACACACCAAATTAGGAAGCAAGGCTCTGCCAGCGGCGCATATCAAGGTGTCTGACACGGTGACTTGGTGTCAGGAGCGAAAATCGCACCAGTTTCAAATTACACTGACACTACCGGTTTCTCCGAGTCGGTTTACAAAAGGCTTGCGAAGTGTAACTCAGTAGTTACTCACTTTTCTTCAGCTCTGAAATACTTGAATCTTTTTTTCTCTCTCCCCCAAGCAAACGACATTGGCCCTAATCGCCATACGAGCTCCTCAAAGGTGTATATGCTTTTTTTATTCCCTTCCAATAATTCACAATTATCCGCGTCACTCTTTCATAGCACATTCCGATTTTATAAAAAGATTTTCAAGAAATATTGATTAATTTTTCCCCATACCCAGGTGAAACGATTCTATACGGAAATCACTCCACGGAAATTCCATACGAAATTCCGCAAAATTTTGAAAGTATTCCTTTTGTAATTTTGCAAATTTTTTTTTTGGAAGAATTCCATCACAGGAAATTAAAAAGCATTAAACTAAGCTGCAACGCTTCTTATTTTAATACAATTTTGCTTATTTTAATCCATTTTGGTATTAAAATAAGCAAAATTGGATTAAAATAAGAAGCGTTGCAGCTTATTTTAATGCCTTTTAATTTTCTGTGATACAGAATTGCATAAAATTTTCAATAAAATTCCACAACTTTATTTTTTGCTGATTTTTTTGTGATTTTAAAATAACAGCTACTACTATAACAAAAACTAGTCGACGATGATGTTCCTGGTGGATATAATATAGAATTTATGATAGATTAATTACACTGTAAAAATTTTGGTAGATTTTCCTATTATTCCTTGTGTAGAATTACCAATTTTTGTAGGTAAAATATAATTTTCCCCAAGTATTTTTGTAACTTTACCAAATTTGTTCATTTTTACCCCAATGATTTGGAAAATTTCCCAAAACTTTAGGTAATTACTTAGGAAATTTTTCAATTTTTGTTGGTAAAAAAGTTTTCCCAAAAGTTTTGGAAATTCTACAAAAATTGTGTATTATTACCCTAAAATTATTTCCAAAATTTTTTTTTGGTTATTTCTTAGGAAATTTTTCAATTTTACTGGGTAAAGAATTTTTTCCAAAATTTTGGTAATTCTACGAAACTTATGTGTTATTACTCTAATAATTTCAAACATTTTTTTGGTAATCTTTCAGGAAATTTTTAAATTCTTATAGGTAATGCAATTTTCACATAAATTTTTGTAATTGTTCCAAACTTGTGCATTACTACCCTATTTGGAAAACTTTTTTTTTTAAATTTGTTACCCAAAACCTTTAGGAAATTTTTCGAAGAATGCGTATATTTTTTTATAAACATTTATGAAATATATATTTTTAAAAAATTTTATTATTAGTTTAAGTAATGTTCTCTTGTATTTTTTTATTGCTAAAGTTTTTTAATTGTTAATTTTTCAATTAATTAATGCATATTTTCCAAATAATTTTGGTAGAAACACTAAACAGTTTGTGTATTTTTATACATAAAAATTCTTGGGTATATTTTCCAAATACATTTTGTAAAAATACCAAAAAGATTGTGTATTTTTACCTAAAAATTCTTGGGTTTTTTTCCAAATATGTTTTGTAAAAATACCAAGATGATTGGGTATTTCCTATAAAAAAAAAAACCTAACCTAAAACCTTACCTAAAAATTCATGGGTTTTTTTGCTTCCAGAAGATTTTTGGTAAAATTACCCAAGAAATTTTTTACAGTGTAATATCTATAGTCGAACTTATTTGAGAGGTGAATAAAACGTTTTCCAAAAGAAATTTACTATTTTTCAGTCAACTAACTAACGGTAGTTGAATTTCTCGACTAATTTTTTTCAGTGTATCCACCAGCAGTTATTTTAAAATTACAAAAAAATCAGTAAAAAATACACTAAATAAAAAAACTAGTAGATTTGACTACTTTTTAACTACCCTGCATAGTTCAATAGGTCCTTAACTGAATTTAAAAAGTTGTATGGACTATTAAAAAGTAGTTAAAAGAACTAAGAATTTAGTTGGGTCAAGGAGATTTTGTAATTGTTCTAATTTTTGAAGTTGATTTAACTACTTTTGTTAAGTATAATTAACTACTAATTCTTAACTCCATAAAAAATAGTTAAATTGACTACACGCACATAGTTAAAATAACCAAAAAAGTAGTTACTTTTACTACTTTCAAGTTAGTTAACTAAAGGTATTTGAGGATTTCGGCTAAATTTTTTTCAGTGTACAGTTGTGAAATTCTAAAAAAAATTTTGTGCAATTCTGTATAGAGATTATGTGTGTAATTCTTATAAAAAATTCGCAAAATTAAAAAAGAACTTCTTTCAAAAATTTTGCGGAAATTTTTGCGGAATTCCGTATATAATTTTTACGGAATTCCGTACGGAATTTCCGTGGAGTAGTTTTCGTAGAATCGTTTCACCTGGGATAGACTATGATAACGGAAGATATATTGTTTATAATTTAATTGCACTTGAAGATTTCTTGGATAAAGAATTAATTTGAGGCACGCGAATGGCGCCTAATATCCCTGATCTTAAGGGTTTCGCATCTAAAAGTGCAAATCCGCACCGAGAAGAAGAGGTGTTTTACCCTTGGCCTGATAAAACCACCTGCGAGCACAGATTTACCTTTTAGATAAAAATCTTTTGCGGTCTGCGCATATAAGTCTTATAGAGAGGCAGAGAGAAAGAGAGAGAGAGAGAAAATTCCCCTTACCTTGCTCTTATAAAAGCTTATTTATAAACAGAACCAGCCACCACAATGGTTATTGTTTCAGCGCAGTATGCGAGCGTTGTGCACGCCGCCTATTTATGACACATGCGAAACGCACCCGATATTGCGCATATATATGCGAACATTGGCTTTTCTTATTGCAATCTCAAACACGATATCCCTTCATCTATAACGTCACTCTATAAATTATTTACATTTCGAACTTTTTCTTTTTATTAAGTCCTAGCTTCTTTTATATATATAGTTTTATTCTTTTTTACCTTCGCAAATATTATATGATTCTCAGAGTAAATAATATTATTCAATAAGAAACTGATTTTGATTTTACATTATTAAAAATGAAATTAAAATTTTAATCCTAAAACTATTGCTAAACATAACCTAAATTTTTTTTCATTAAGGTCCCTTTTGTGTAACATTTCAGAATAAAATTTTTTTACATTACAAATATTGTGTTTATAGTAAATAAAATAATTATTTTTGTTATCAATAATATAATTTGAAATAAATGTTATAGTTTTATTAACGTATATCTAATTTTTTGTTGCAGCATGTTCTTGCTATAATAGTAGGAAGCAACAAAGGTCAAAGGAATCAAAAGGTAAGAATTTTGTAAAATATTCATTTTTTTAAAAACTAAATAAGAAATTTTTCACTATTGGGAAAATGTGACATCGAATTTTTCTAATTGCGTATCAAAAAAAAAAACTGAAATGGTATATGCAAATCAGTTCGATTGTGGTGATAGCTTCGAGGCAATAACTTGAACTATACTTCTGAGGGTACTATTGCGATATAGTTTCATTAAAATACGTTTCAAGCAAGCCGACATTAACAGAAATATCCTGGAAACCTCTTGTGACGTCAACTGTATATATATGTTACCACCCACAATAAAGTATAAATGCTAACAACCATACAACAGCCTCTTAGGCTCATGTTGATCTAAAGGTACAACGTAATTATATTTTCAATTCTATCAATGTTAATAACTCGAAGGAGTTATAGTAACAATAGTAAACTATTACTATATTAATTTTTCTCGTTGGATTTATATTTCAGTTTTTTTTTATTTTTTTCGTTTCCCATATTGGTTGTATTTCTTTTGTTATCTCAAGAGAATAATTTTCTCGCCTTAACAAATTTTCACTTTCTTAAACAATTTAATTCGTAAGGAAAGATTAATTAGGTAATTGTTTAAAAGGTAATTTTTTTCTTCTTCTTTTTTTGTTAATTATTCTATGGATATTGGAATATATAAGAACAGTAAGGAATCTCTTCTTTCATTGTGCAATAAGCAATCCAATTGAATTTTCGTCGCACAGAGCTTTGTAATTGGCCCATCCCTGGCAATTACATATACGAACGGCTGCACACATTCCAGCCACGCGCCTTGCCTTGTCGTTACACGGATGTCGACTTGCGTACATAGGCATAGGTCATTTCGAAAAAGTCATGTCCTGGTTCACATAAAGATTGCCATTAACGCTATACAACCTATTAAATACTGTAATCATTGGAAGCCGTATTTAATTCACTCTTGAAAGCCTATAATAAGAAATTTTTTTCAAAAATTTTTATCTACAAGCTATATATTTTTTATGAAAAATAATTGCAATATCAATTTCAGATATTGTATAAATAACCTTTGAGAACTGAGAATTAAATAATTGCATCAATTAAAATATTTTTCTAATTATCAAATTTTGTTTATATTTTATATAATTAATTTGGAATTTAATTAAAAATTGTATTTTCCATGGCTTTTTTTGTTGTGAAACAGAAATAAATTTGTATCTTCGAATTCTTGGAGTAATTTTGTTATTCACATTATTCGTAGGGGTATTTATTAATGGAAAAAAAAATTAAATATCAGTGCGTATTGGTTGAAAAAAATAATTATAAAATACTTGATCTCTCTAAATGCTTATCTGATCTTTCTAAGCCATGAATTCCTCAGATAGATTGCGACCATCGTTGACGAATCGATATTTCAATTCTTATCCAAGTCGCCTGTCAGTCACAGATCGAAAAGAATGAAATTATAAAAAGTATACTAAGAGTCAAAGATGACAATTATAGACATATCATTGTGAATCTGATAAAATTAAAATTAGATCAATTTTTGCATCAGTTGATAGTGTCCTGCGTGATATGTTATCTTATTCAAAAATGCCATTGAAATAGCCTTGTTTTTTCTATTAATTAAAGTGTCATTTCATGTTTAAGTATTGATGGAACGAAAAATTAATTGTTATTAGAACGAAATTAAAGTGGGGGAAAAAAAAAAATGTGAAAAGATTGGTTATGTACGAGAGATGGAAAATATTTGTTGGCGGATTTTCAAAGGTAGCTACGCCATTGGGAGACTTCTAGGAGCAACGAGAGCAACACGATCTCCGTTTGTGGAGGCTCGTAGCTCCAAGTGGAGGCGGTGGGAGCCGTCCGGTTCCATAGCGGCGGAGCGCGCGGCGAAAGAGAGAAGCAAAGAGTCCAATGGCAAAAAATAAGGATGCCATGAGAGTGGTGCAGCGGGTAAAGGGGGGAGATGAGTGGTGAGAGGTGCCGGCGTTGAGAGAGAGAGAAAGAGTGAGAGGGGGTGGAAGACGAGAAGGGAACGAGAGAGAGGAGGAACGCGACACAATCACGTCTTGCACGCGCCGAGCCCCGAGCCAGTTTCAGCCTCAGTTACACGAGGCTAAACTCTTCTCAATTTTATTCCCAGGGATATTTTTATCATTTTGCCTTTACGTAATAATTATTCTTCATTAATTTTATTTATAATTATATATAGGGTGATTTTTATAATCTAAACTCCCGAAAATTTTTTTTTAAGTTCCCTTTTTTTGTTGAAAATTTGAAGATTAAACAAAAATTTTTAGGGGGTCCGGAACTGCGCGCGCATTCCATAAGAAGTGGGAGAAACTAGCGATCGGTTCTCGAGCCTTACTCCCACTCCTTATATGCTGCGCGCGCAATCTATGAGGAGTGGGAGAAACGCTGACGATCGGTTCTCGAGCTTTACTCCCACTCCTTATACGCTGCGCGCGCAATCTATGAGGAGTGGGAGAAACGCTGACGATCGGTTCTCGAGCTTTACTCCCACTTATATGCTGCGAGCGTATTAACGCTTTTTTACTCCTGTTGTGCTCAACGATTAATGAAGATTAATTAATGAAGCAAATATTAAAGGTTCTTTTAGATTTCTTTTTTCTGAAAAACGTAGAAAGAATATTTTGACTTTAGCTAAAGATTTATAAGTGTAGTCAACTCTGAATTTGTTTTGGTCACGCTATCCGGATTTAAGTTCGTGTAACGTTTGCTCTTATCCCGATCGCCACTCGAGGTATACAGTGGTTTGACCCGGGGGTCCAGCGCCTCCGGGCCCTTTCGAAGTGTGGGAACCCTCTCTGTCTTAAATCCAACTCTTCTACAATCTACAGCTATAATCTTTAGAGCATCTTCATACATATATACACGACCAAATATGAATTGGTCCATTCTTAAATCATCAAGATGTCTGCGAGAGGTGATGAATGACAATGGATTCTATTTTAGGAAAAAAGAAATTTTGGATTTATGAATGAAAAAAAAAGAATGTGTAAGCAAAAAAAAAAACGTTTTTGAAAGTTGAATGTTGTTAAATGTTAAAGTAAACATTTACTGATGCTAATCGAGTCATTCATCATTGCGATTTAATATAAAGTTTATGTTGCGTCAAAGTAAATAACGAATTATTGATTAAAAGTAATGAACTTGTCGATCATCATTCTATATAAGTAAAGAATCTCAGCTGGAATCTGGGAATAATCCAAGTTGTTTCTTCACATCATATATGAACGAATCAAGATTCAAGAGATTGGTATTCAGAGGTCAAGGTGACTTAAAGTACCTTCGATTGCTGAAGGTGATATTGCTTTCGAAGTGCAGACCGATATTTTTTAACAACTGATATGTGTTGGTTCAAGGTGGATCACTCGACATTTAACGATTCTCTGCTGATGCATTTTTGAACGTCGACTTATGTCGATTCGCGTGTCAGAATCGTTTACGTGCGTGCGCACTTATACAACAAAGTTTAAAACTATTTTCTATATAAAAGTCAAAGTAAATTTCCAATTGAAATTCTTGAAAATATTTAGTCAAGATTATTTTTTTTGTTCAATTTTTACAAGTTGAAGGAGATTTTTTGGCTTTAATGATGAAGTTTATTTGCATCATGAAGATAATATCAATCTTGTCAAAAAAAAAGGAGCAAAAGAAAAGAAAGGATTTACCGAGACTTGAGACCTTGAACTGTCGAAGAGTCGTGATTTTCGATCTGAATGTTACAGGTGATCCGGTTTTAATCCCATCAACAAAAGGTTACAATTACGATCACAATGGCGGACACCCTCGGGCTCGTTTTGCGACCTAAGTACAGGCTGCGATTTCTTCTTCGTTCGCAGATCGTTGCATTCTCCTCGATCCCATCGTTCATGATTACCAACTACTCAAGTTGTGCCCCAGGAATTGAGTTCACGTGTTCGCGTTCTTATATATATATATAGTATATACTTGCGATGGTAAAAAGACTTGCACGAAAAGTGAAGAAAATCACTTTTGATCGTAGGAAAATTTTCTGACGCTCTAATGAATATGGAACAACTATGGCTTTTGAGTCTTTTTCTTCTTTTAATGAAAGTCGTATTTTTAAAAATTGGAATCTTTTTGAGTCTTGTTGCAGTGTCATCGTCAAAATTATAGTGATTCTGATTTTGAACGATTTTCCATATTCTCTTATCTTGATTGAACGTCACTATTGTCGTTGGATAAAATTTAAATCTATTTCAAACAATGTTTTATCGAAGCGCGTTAGTTTTACTGTTAGCTTTGGTGGAACTTATTTCTAAGAACGCCCTTTGCAACCTTTTCTTTCATACTTCTGGTTTCTTTTCTTTGTTTTCATTTCCGTGGGAGACTCACAGTCTAGGAAAAAGGAGTTTCGATGTTCTAAAGTCACGCTCAGGAGTAAAATTTTACTTATTACTTTCAAAATGATTATTGGGTTCTGTAATTATAAAATTAACTTATGAGTATAATACTTGTAGAAAGTTTATTTTTTCTCGAAAAAAAGAATTTCAACTATAAATTCTCTCCGTCTAATTGTTAATTACTTTAATTATCAATGTTCATCACTATTGACGCTTTTAACTGTGACATTTTATGACTGTCGTAAATTTACCTGAAAATTAAATAATTATTTATACCCACACATCCGGTTTGAAAACTGCATCTACAAAAAAGGGATATTAATTTTTTTTTCTTTGGAATATAATCCTAAAATTATAATTATTTTATTAGCATGTGAAAGTATATATTTGAATGTAAAATTAAGTTGAAAATATGATGGTATCTATTTCCCCATGCCTTTACTAGGAGAAAAAGATTGATGGCAATGTCGTTTTCTAGTCGTATATAGATGGTTAGAAGTCTCGGAGAGTCATCTTGTGGCTGCTGTTGCAGCAGCATCTGCATGCCCGGTTTCGAGCTTCTGCGCGAACGATCGTCGATAAGCTCCTTTAATTTATCGCCCTTTTCCTCGGGTCGTTGCACCAGCAA